TCAGCCAGTCATACCCAGACCCAAGTGGTGTCCCACCCGAGCCTCGAACTCGTGACCTTTCTGATCAGAGTCAAACGTCCTAAACATTGAGCCACGAATTCGTTGTCTTGTCGGTTTTCGATCGGGAATATACAGTGGCTGATAGGCGTAGATAAGTACGTACTATTTGCTTTAGGCAAGCATTTCCTTAATCTACTGTTCTTATATTAAGTATCTTTAAACAATTTCGGACAGAATAACGACCCTGCTTCGGCAGTATGCATTATTGAATGCTAGCCAACAGTTCCTTTGCCATTTACATAGAAGGGAAGTCGTCTACAAGATTCCACGTAACACTTGCAATGCCGTGTACTGAGGTCAAACTAAAAAACAGACAAATTTTCGGCAAGGAGGCAAGAACACTTTACTGTAGTCGCCATGCGTACGCTATGAACCGGGCACACATTTGCTTGGGTTAAAATGCGCATAGTCGGTTTCTGCCCATATATGAATGGTCGAGAATTTCTATAGGCCATTCACTCAGATGATCCATGCATCAGTCGACACACCGATTTAGACAACGCGGTAGCCAACCAGAACATGATGTAAACCCACAGCACCGGCCCATTAACGGTAATAATAAACCAATATTGATTTTATCAGGCATTCTTAAATTTTAATCTTTTTGTTCGTCTGACAACGGTCTGAGAAACCAGTGTGAAAACATTTACGAAATAGAGTTTTCTGAATTTACCAAAGGACGCCTTTTCTTAGTAAGCAGTTTAGGTTTTGGGTATAACGACAAATAAGTCATAAATAGTCCCTATGCCCCCTACCGTTGATAATAAAATTATGAGAGCTGGAGATAAATTTTCATAGAATGTGGTTTAAAATCCAAACCTGCAATTGGGTACGGCTGCAGCATTGCAGTTGGCTATGTGACTGCATGTGAGAGCTTTCAATTGAGTCACAAGACGCAGCGGAACGAATATTTCTCATAACCTGATTGATGAACGATCTCATCACAAATCGACCATCACAATCTTCAATGTCCACCACATGTCCTACAGCGTGTTGGTCGCAGCAACAAGAACTGGAGCGCGTGAGTTAATTGTAAGTGATGGTAGACTTGCGTTGCATCTACCGCACGCGCTCCTCTCCTACCGGAGCTTGATGTCAAAACACATTCAAACAGACCAGAGACGGGATCGGACGCGGTGACTTACAGGGCCAAACGCACATGTCCAAATTAGCCAATAAACACGCTTCTCACCTACGCGAGTCGTCTTTGCTGAAGTGCGGTGTCAGTTTCTATGCACTGTCTATCCTTATTTAAATCAAATGGGCTACCATATATTATTAGTGACTAGGTGCCCGAGGACACCGAGGGGTTGCTTTTACTGCCTCTGTGCTCACTTCATTTTCCGACTCCTATTTCGATGGAGCTGGTGGCGGGGCAGAAGTCTTCTTTCTTGGACGTCATCCACCACTACTGTCCATACAACGTCTTGTTTCTTTTCTGGTAAAGCGCAACTGCAGTGACTTTTGGTCCATCCAAAATGTTGATTTAAGAGGACATTCCTTATTTTGAAATTTTCAAGTTTGTTCGCCAGGCCGTTTCCAACTGCTAGAAAGTAAACATCATCCTTCACATATTCAGATTACCAAACAATTTATGTAGAGAAAAAGTTTGCTTAAAAAGAAAGAGGAAACGATTTAAAGGACAAGTTTCCAGTCCAAAAATCTATGGAGAAACGGAGCTAAAACTGATCTTAACTGCGAAGGGTACGAGCCCGGAACTAAGTGATAAGGGCGCTAGATTTCTAACAGTACCGACTTTGAGCCTCGAGTGGTGCGCCACCCGGAGTTGATTATGGCTGGCTGGTGACGGCTAATAAGCGAGAACCGACCATTCCAGTCTCTAATGACTTTGCCGTTAATGTATTTTTGTCTATAGTATATGCTATCTGTTGTGCAGCTGTTGGCGCGGCTTTAGAGTAAGCTGAAAGGTACGACGAGACGAGTGTATCCTGTAAGGCGGTCAGTGAGCCCCCCCCCACTGCCATTGTTTATATACCCGATTGAAACCGAGAAGACAAAATGTCCCCGTATAGAACGCGGGTTTAAGCCCTAGGAGTCGCAAAGCCCGTGGTTGGGTATAACGCCTAGCAAACCAGAAATAGTCATTTAAGTCTCCCCCGTTTTTTGAGTCTTACTCTGCATTTTAATGAGCCCTTAGCCGTGCTATAAAAACTAGACTTTCGAGGAATATTTTCTTCAGTTGACTTTCCTTATTACGTGGGTTCGAATCCCACCAAGGCCGCGAATTTTTAACAATTAATTCAACTGAATTATTCCAGTCTGCCAACCCCTCTAATGGATATTTTTTACGCCACGTGATACGGGTCATCTGACCTATTGGCGGAGGCGTGAACTCGTCATTTCCCTTAAACTTCGTAGTGTGACTCCCCTCTCTGGTACCTTCACACGAACTGTCATAGCTGCAGTCCCGAGCTGTAAGTCGTTTGTTGGAGGCTTCATTTGAAGGTCATTTTGTATCAGCCGACACTTGTGATGGCGGCTATTGCGTGGAGAGTTTAGAACACTCTTTAAGAGAATCCAGACTCATTGCAGTAATCCGGAGGAAAAGGCA